AAAATTTTTATAGCAATTTCCGCCATAAAAATACAATAAAATGCTTAAATTTAAGTGCCTAATTGGCAATAAAATCGAAATACTAACAAATCTTGTGGCTGTCTCGTGAAATCCGCTTAAGAAACAGCTTAAAGAAGCGATGTTTACATTCATCAAATATAGCACAGAAGCTTGTACAAATTTTCATTAATCGATATGGAAATTTACATAAGTGGAGATTATAATGAACAACGTTCAGCAGTTGAAAGAATAGACGAAAAATATAACGTAAAAAGAAAAAAATGTATTATAAAAATTATGCAAAATCTTTTTACCCAAAATGATATTAATTATTAAAATTTTTAAGCGCTTTTTGATATATATCAAGCTCAATTGATTTTTTTTTTTTTGGTTTTGCAGCCCTGAACAGAATCAAATGTTATAATAAATATTATTATAATTTCTGATTATTATGCTTATACATACTTATAGATATTAATTTTAATTTATTTGCTATAATTGAGAAAATTTCGCATAAAAGTCGACACGCGTGACATTTGAGCTTGTCACGCGATTATCTCTAGACACACGGAGACATATATCAGGCAGCCTCTGTCAGTCACTCAGTCACCCCGCCAAGGCAGCGGCGCTGGCAACAACAACAACAACAAATACAACGGTCAACAGCCGCAGCTCCAATTGTTGGACTTCATCTTCAGCTGCGTCGTCGTCGCGGTCGCCGTCGCAGCTGCAGTCGCCGCTGGCGTCACTGTCAGCATCGTTATTTTTGCAGTCGCGTCAATTAGCGCCGCGTTGCTGAAGTCTGTTTATTTGCATGCAGCAGCAATTGCAGATTTTTCTTTATATAATACACTAACCGCGGTCATTATGAATATGTCATTGAATGTGTAATTCATGGAGCCTTATACGTATCTGCAAATGTTGATGAGTTATATATGCCTTGGATCAGCATCTGTAGGAGCTCGGAATCATTGTTTATATATGTCTTAGATCAGCATTTATAGCAGCTCGAAATCAGGGTTCATATATGCATTAGAACAGCACCTATAGAAGCTCAGAATCAGGGCTGCAAACCGATAAAAGTGAAAACCACAAGTCGAAACTCAAGGCGAGCCATTGGCTGAATCCAACCAATGACCTTATTTGTTGGGTTTGATCCGTGAGCCTAGATGCTGATGAAATTTGCCTAGAATTGAGCTTTTTGACGGCCAGATTTGACTTTGAAATATAGAAATTATCGCTCGTAATTTTAGTCCTTGTAAACAAAGTTTTCTTCATTTTATTAAGATATTACTTGTTATATACACATGCAGTAATAATACAAACTAGTTTGGGTTAAACTTAAGACAGCAATAGCTTTATTTGATATTATTAAAATATTATTTACATCAAATTTATAGTCTTTAATCAACCTTATTTTTTTCCTAATCTATTCAACTAAATTCGATTCGTTCTGTTAGACTTAAAATAATACCAAAAAATTAAAATTAAGTTTTGAGCCGTTCTGTTAGACTTAAGATTCTAACAAAAATATTTATTCAAATTCAAACCGTTTTTAAAATTAGATTAGCTTGAATTAAGTCAGAATGCTCTTAATCTACTCTCTGTCTGCCTAGGGTATTATAAGTTCGGCAATTTGATGAACTGCTGTTTTTTCTTGTCTTGAATTTTACGCCTTTGCGCCTTTTTGTGGCACATGTGATGTGATATAAAGCAGAGATGGATCCGAATCGGTTAGCCAAACAAAAAATCATTTTCTGAACTCTTTAATTGCGTTTGGCTACTGCTCCTTGTTGTTGTTGCTGTTGTTGTTGTTGTTGTCGTTGTTGTTGTTGCTGCTGCTGCTGTTGTTGACTGCTTGGCTTTTGCGTTTAATTACTTTGTTTATGGCCAGTAGCGGCAGCAACAATAAAACTTCAATTTATGTGCATGCAGCCGGGCTGGGCACGAGCACTGAATGTTGTTAAATTCCAATGCACAAATTGACAGGCCACCCAGCCGCACCACCCACCCTAGCACGCCGACCGCGCCCCCGCTTTCTATACACCCCTCCCCCGATTTGCTGCTTTTGTTATGTAAACAACGCGAAAACTTTTTATTTTGTCGACGCTGCAACGCCTTCGCTGCCCCCAGCATTGCGCTCCATGACACCCAAAACTCCTACGATTCCCAATCCGTATGCCAAACTCTCGGGGTAGCAAAAACTTTTCCTTTTCCCTTTTCTTTCTTTTTTTTTGTTACGTCCCCGCCCGTTGCACGCAGTCGTACAAATAACTCGACTCAACTCGCTGAATGCTTTGCAATTTCCGCTCTTCTAAATTTGTTGAAAATTTGCGAGGCGAACGCACAAAAAGAAAAAAAAACCAAACGCCGTAAGAACTTTGCTGCCCTAATTTGCTGACTGTAAGGATGCCCTGTTCTTAGTGTAAAAAAAACGGTGGAAATCCTCTGAGAAGAATTTTAGCAATTGCTCTATAACTGAGTTAAAAAATTTATGATTGGTTTTGACCATTATTTATATTTACTATATTAAAGAGAAAAAACAATTGCGACAGTAGCGCCCAAACTGTAACTCAAACGTAGCGGCTTTCAAACTGTGAAATATTTAAATAATTAGTGGGTAGTGGACGTCAATACTTTCTAGGATATCTCTAGTTATCAAATAAATAAAATTAACGTGACTCTGAAACTGAATTGATAAGACTGTGACTTTCAAACTGCATGGGGGAAAAAAGCTGCAAATAACAAGTATTTGAAACTGTGAAACAACATTGGCTAGATATATGCATATATTACATTTGGAATTTTTGAAGGTCAATTAAACATCACCAATATACCCTTCTAACCCTGCTTCCAACAGAGTATAAAAAAGGAGCCGTGAGCTGTCGTTTTGTCGGTTTGACAAGGGAAAAGCTAAGTTTTGTTTGGCAAAAAAGTTTTATGCAAACACAACACAAGTTCATCTGGCCTCCCCTCCCGGCTTCTCGCCCCTCGTGCGCTCAGCAAACTGGCTGCCCAACCTTGCGTAATATTTTAATAAATTTTTGTCACCGGTCCCCGGTACAACAATGGCCTACCGTTAGCCTTTGTCCAATTGCCAGGTTCCATCGGACTCTAAAGCGCCTGCGTCGCAATTAGAAAAGTGCGTGGAACCTGCGTGACGTCAGCTTTTCGGATCTCTCAATCAGAAATTGGGCTAAACGAATGCGCACTTTCAATGAGTTTCCTTTCGCTCTGAAACACTTTGAAAGTGGATTTATTGGGTAGACAGATTTTGTGCAAATGTATGAGATATATATGGTTAATGAAGACTCCGAATTGAGTCAATCTGTCGCGTTTGTAAGGCGTAAATTTTGGCAATTATAGCAGCTAAATTTAAATTTGTTATCATTATGTTTTTGTATTATCTTATACGATTTCCAATAATATTGATTAATATCGATTATGAGACTCGAATATTATAAGAGCTAGCTACAGCATAGCTGGTATGTAGGCTCTCGTATAATATACATAGATAAAGAATTATTTACTTTTATATACCTTCCCCCAATGACCCCTCTAAATTAACAAACAAAAAAAAAAAGATTTTCAAAGCTAGAGCTCTGCGCCTGGAATGCACACATATTAGGGCGTCATACTAAGGCACTGAAAATATAATAAAGATCGGACTATAAACACCGAAGTTATGCAAGAATGCATTTGCCACAGTGTGGAGCTGAGAGAAGAAGAAGCATTGGCAGCTCGACCATGGGCTCAGGGTATCTTCGTGTGGATCCCACACAACTAAAGCAAAGTTGTTTCCACTTGATGTTTGCAGCTCGACGCAATTTCCATGTCAAAGCTGATTTTCTAACTGATTTCATGTCCACTCTCACACACACATACACAGAAACAGAGCAAATTTCTAGTTTCAATCATGTTGCCGGCCGCCTTCGAATGGCGTGTGTCCTGGTGGTGGCGGTGACGGCGGCGCCACTGATGTGGTAATAAACACCCCTTGTGCAGTCTAATGGACCGTAATTAACTCGTGCGCCAACTGCGGCAGCGCTGTCACAGCCACAGCCACAGTCACAGTCAACGCCAGCTGCAGCGGCAGCAGCAGCGGCAGCGTCGCGACGTCGTGTGGTCGTTCTACAAGCGATGAATAATAATTTCACCAGGACAGCAACCACAGCACAGCTCCGGCACAGTGGACAATAATGGCAGTTAAATGGCCAAAACAATTCGTTGGCCAATCCAATTTGCATATTACAAACATATTGGCCATATGTTGAATGTGCTTTATATAGTGGTTGCCATTGGTCCCATAATCCTGTCCAGATTGCGTCAAAGTAATTGCGCTTGCCCAAGATAAGCGTCAGCATATCAAATAATAGTTAGGCTTGGATAATATATGCATGGCAGAAAATTATGAATAATATTTATAAGGCTGTAAATATGCTAAAAAAAATATACATATACTCTCTTTAAGATGATATTATTTGATATATCTTATGGCTAATACATGTTCAAACTATTGAGTGTACGCACAGGTAGATATTGCAAGCGGCGACTCTTTGATCTAAATCCATAGTTTATCCAAGCGAGTGCAAAAGTAGAACAAAGAAACTCTAGAAAGGGAAATTCCGTCCTAGGCTACGCCTATAGACATTTTTAGTTCAGACATCTTGCAAAAAATTCCCAGAAATTCAACAATAGGAAAATATGTGGCAGATATTTGGTAGCTCAAGTAATTTGTAAAATAATTACTATATTTACTATATACTATAGCTATTTATTTAAAACAATAGCAAATATAAAATATATTAATTGTAAAAAATATAGAATTCAATTTTTCAATGTTTCTTAGTATTATAAATAATAAAATTTAATTATAAAAAATTAGAAAACTATATTATGATACACAAATATAATTATAATAAATAATAGTTGTATATATATTTTGTATAACATTTTTTATTCAATATCTAACCTATGTTTTATTTTTTTATATCTTTCAGATACTTCTACTATCGCAATAGCTATCGATAGTTTTTGATAAACATTTTGTAAGTTTATTATAATTAATACACATTTAATCATATTTATGCAGTAGATCTTATAAAAAAATGAAACCCAATAACAATATATAATATAAAATATGTGATATACATTATACAACATAAAAGATATTATATATTCTATATAATATTTTTTTTTTAATGCAAACTTTTTAAGCTGCACAAAAATTAAAATAATAATTGAGAAACCATATAAACATGTTACACACATCGATAACAACTTGTAAATGCAATTAAAAGCCGTTTTTTGGATATTCTAGTCGATAACAGTTTACAATGCATTTGAAGCCAAGGATTTCAAACATAAAACTTTAAAATGCGTTTGCGGTATAAAATTAAAAAAAATTTATATATATCGATCTATTAGGTATATATATATATCGATCTATCAAGTATGTATATATAATAGATCAATTAATATAGATTTAAATTAAAACAATTTTACTCACCGCTTTAGCCAAATTAGCCATTGATTTTTTGCCATTGTGCATGTTGCTGCTGCTGCTGCTGGCAGGGTGCTGCTGCTGCTGTAGTTGTTGTTGCTGCTGTTGCTGTTGTTTGCGTGACGGATATTGCCTTGTCACTTGCATGTACGAGAAATGTTAAAACGTGGAGCGGGTTGGACTGTTGCCCGCCTGCTTGCTGCCTGCCTTCGTTTTTATTTTATTCAACTTTATGCCAGGCAAACCGCTGGCCAAGCAATGGGCAAACCGACTAACCACAGCGCGCCAATCAACGGGACAGACTTATCCAACAAAGTCAGCAATAGCAACAACAAGGAATCTGTTGTTATACCGTTCGAAAGTTGTGCTAAAATTTAATTAATTTTGCAATTTGGCTAGTCAAGCAACGGCAGCAGCAGCAGCAGCAAGAAAAGCAGCAACAGCAGCAACACCAACAGTAGCAACAACACCGACAACAGTAGCAACAACAGTAGCAACAACAGGAGCAGAAACAACAACAGCAATAACAACTTTAATAGAAACAACAGCAGCAACAACACCTACAACAGCAGCACCAACAGCAGCAGCAATAACAACAACAATATTGACAGCAGCAACAACAACAGCAGCTAGCGACATTTTCTATCTGCTATCGAAAAATTATGATGATTACCATAATTGCCACTAAGCACGGGCGTAGCCAAATGTAAGGCGATTTGGCTGGCGACTATTATAAATACAAATTTAATGAGCGCAACATATGCAACAGCAGCAACAACAGCAGCAACAACAGCAGCAACAGCAGCGGCAGCGACTGGACTTTAATGCGATTACATGGCAGCGGCACATTTGTCATTTAGTAGGGGTCCATTCGGGTGGTGTGCAGCTGTGCATGTGTGTGTTTGTGTGTGTGTGTGTGGCAGCTTAAACAAATCAAGTCAAATTACTGCAATGCTAAAGAAGAATCTGTAGCAGTCAGCCAACTGGCAACTGTCGACCGACGACCGACGACCGTCGACTGCCGGCAACTGCGGCGACTCTTGTACCAGCCACAGTGCGCATCCGTAAGATACATTTTGCTGCAGGCAGACAATTGCATGGCCAACGTGCATAACTTTAACTTTATTTGTTGCCCTCTCGCTTGCACAGTGTGGCATGCGGGCCACTGCAGCAGTAGCTGCCACAGCAGCAGTAGCAACAGCAACAGCAGCAGCAGCAGCCGTTGCTCATTAAGTGCCACTCTACGACAGTTGTCGCTAATGCCGCTGGCATGCTAACCCCTCCTCCTCGCACGCCCCTGTCACGCCGGCGGGGTCGTCGTCACGGGCCAAGCTGGGGTTACACACAGTCAACGTAAATTTGCAAATATTTGCTGAAATCAGACGACGACAAATGCAGCAGCAGCAGCAGTAACAGCGGCAGCGGCAGCGGCAGTTGCATGTGCAGCAGCCAGCTGGGGCAGGGTCTTAGGAGGGGGAGGGGGTTAGTTAGTGCTAAGGGGGTTGCCAGTCCGCATAGGCACGCCTGGCATGGCAGTTGAGTTTGTTGTTGGCTTTTTTTTATTTCGGACTACCCCGCATAGCGAGGTTTTTGGCGTCCGAGCTGCAGCCAACAGCTAACTGCGGCTAAAACGAGTGTTAGTTGAATGTACTACAGTGAAGAGTCGAGAAGTGGACTAAGAGCTGCCGAGCTGCACCCAAAGGGGCTTAGGCTAACACACTCACAGCACTGCAACTGCATATAGATTAAACACTTGAGCGACAAACGGAAAGGAAACTGCACAAGATTTCCAGAGTGAATTAAACTAAAGCTTAAGTTCTAGCTGCACGCTTAACGAACTTAAGCGCGGCAACAACAAATTGTATTTGCCAGATATATATATGAAATACATATATATACTATATATACCAACGAGCTGTTGCCAAAGCGCGCGCATTAACTCAGCTGTGAAATGGGTGAAAAGGTTTCAGCTCAACTGAGTGTGAATATTAAAAGTGGGGCTAAGAAATTCTGAATGATTTTTTAAAATTGTTTTTTTACCTCTTTTTTAATTGGTTAAAGAAATTTGCTGGGTTAAATAAATATAATAAATTTAATTAAAGCAGGGAAAATCATTTTTTTTATTACGTTCAAAGGATTAACTTCCCAAGAACAGTATCAATTAATAAGCTTTAAAAGAAATATAAAAATAAAAAGATTAGCGCTCAAATTGTTTTATATAAGCTTTAACTTTATGAATGTGAAGTCTGTCCGCAATCTTCAGATAAATGAAATTAAATTAAGCTAAATATTGAATTTAAGTCTGAAATACTAATTTTTCCTCATATTTTGCTGATGTCTGCTACAAATAATCATCGGGTATTTCCCAGACAATGTTGATATAAGCTTTAACCTTATAACATTTCCACTTTCCACAATCTTCAATTAAATTAATTTAATTTAGGTAAATATTGAATCTATCAACTACTTCGCCTATTTTGCAGAACGTCTGTTATGAATAATCATCAGACAGTTTCCCGACAATATTGATATAAGTTTTAACTTAATAAATGTGAACTCTTTCCACAATCTTCTGTTTAATTAACAATTCCTTAAGTTAAATATTGAATTTAAGCCGGAAATACTTGTCAACTTTTTTTTAACTCCTATTTTTCTGGATGTCTGCAACAAATAATCATCGGGTATTTACCTTTTATTGTAACTTCGATACCGTTTACAAACCATAATTAACTGTCTTCGGTAGAACCCAACTCTAAAGTGTCTTCCTTTTGATGGTTGCGTGTGTGAACCAAAGAAAAGGCCTTTCTATAGAAATACTTGTACAATAACCAAATGGGAAGGAATATTGTTTAATAAGCATGCATTGTGTGTTACCTGTGTGACCCACTTGCTGTATGAGTCTCGGCATGAGTCAGAATATATATATATCTATATATATACATATATGCTCATAAGTATCGTGTAATTTGTATTTTAAACGCAACAAACCATAATTTAAAATGTGAGGGTAACTCAAAGTTCTGAAATGTGGAGGTCTCTTCACAGTGGTGCGTGCAGTTTATCAAAGGACCGATTGCCCCGATATATGTCTGGGTTCGGGGCAATGAAAATGAATTACATGACGGCAAATGCGGCAGCGGCGGCAACTGGCAGCAACCTGCAGAGTTTGCGGCAGTTGTTAAAAATTATTATTAAGTATTTGCCGTGCTGACGCTGTCTGAAACAAAGGCCAAGCTTTTAAATATTTAATAAGTACACAAACAGAGCCCAAAGGAGAAGTCAGATTGGCCAGTGAGGGGGCGCTGCGGAGGGGAGCTTAAACATACCTATATATATATATACATATATATTGAGCATGACTGTTGTTGAGTCACGTCAATTGGGCTTTGGACTGACTGACGGGCTGACTGACTGGGCGTCCCGCTGCGGCACTGGAAGTGGAATCAATACCCAGGCTCTGGCTCTGGCTCGGGCGCGGGCGCGGGCTCTGGCTGCCCGCCGTGTATGTACTTGTAAGGATACACACATTGTTACACACGCACACACAAAGACGCACACTTGTGCGCCCACTAACGGTGACAATAAATGAGTAAAAATGACTTTCAACGAAACGAAAATCGACGCCCCGGCGGACAGAAAATCTGTCATCAACACGCACTCGACTGTGAGGGGACCCTTGTGAAAGCCATGAAATTTGATACCAATGCGTGGAGGACCATCCAACAACGGCAGCAGCAGCCACCAACAACAATAACAACAACAACAACAACAGCAACAAAAGCTACAACAGATACAAGATAAAGTGCTCTAGTCAAGAGTGCTTGACTAGTAGATGCCCTGTACCTGACTGAAGTGCAAAGGGAGTGCAAAAAAGTTATTATTCAAAAATGTTTTCCCAGCTCTAGTAATTACCAAGATATGCCCTTAAAATTTTGAAAAGGACCTCTTTATCGAATCGAAATAGTTATCGAAAATTTAAACATATTCGTATATTCAATTCTGCATACAAAATCGAATCGAAAAAGATATTGAAAATTTAAATCTGCATTTAATATTCGCTTACCAAACTATGAATACAACATTGTTCGAGCTCTATTCAAAGAATTAATTTTTATCGAATGGGTGCAGTTATCGAGTATAGCATGCCAGAACCTATAAATCATATTGGATATGACTAGCTCTTAGATTGCCTGATAATCGCTAATGGCTGTTAATTGATTTTTAAAAAGGGGTTATCGATAAGTCATCGATAATTTGACATCATCTTTTAATGTGCATATCGTATGGCAGATTCTAAATTTGAGTACGTCAGAGTGCTTCATTCAGTCTGACAGACAGCAAAGTCTATATAGACATAGCTCATCAACCTGATCATAAATATGGTCCATACAGTCGATATCGCTTCCTCTCTCCCTCTTCCATAAATAAGCACAGCTCTTTGATGCCACCTTTAACCATTTTTGATAGGTGCAGGGTATAAAACCTGACAACAGCAGTTTGATAGCATGACAATCGCAGCCGAAGCAATTTGAAAATTTCAATACT